TTCTTGTCAGAATCAATACACGCCTGCAATCACTGGGTATCTGCCTTAGCACATATGCCATGGCTGCCAAGTAAAAGGCGGATCAAGTGTCCCTCTTTTGTTAACTAAGGATAATAGTGGGAGCCCTTTTTGGCGTGCGGTGTGGCGGCGCGCTGGCTCCACTGGAGGAACCACTGTTGTATCTTTTGGTCTCCTGTAAGTACTGGTCTTTTGAGCAAACAAACTGAAACGCGCCATTTCTTACCTTTACTTTTACGCAGCTACGTATGATATCACCTCCGCGGCAAATATTTACGTTAGTATCGCCTTGTCGGCGATTTTTTCGTCACTTCAAAATCCATTTCATCCTCAGGTAGTCCATAGGTTGCCTTTTACTCGTCACCATTTATACACCCTAGATCGGATCTCAGCCAAGACCCGCATGAATTAGTGGCGAAACGGCGCACAGATCAGTGGGAATTAAGCACTGTTGCTCTTGGAAATAGAGTTGCATTGGCTTGCAGCCCTACGATCCGCCCCCTACACATGTCTCACGCCGTAAACCAAAAAAATAGCTATGCGTTCAGACGATGGAAATGCCTTCATTAACAATGCTTGAGAATTTTGAATCGGCCGACGCAGAGTAAGCAGCGCGCCAGTGCTTGTAGAAACATACGGAAAGCCATGGAAGCTTGTTGGGCCACGTGTCCTTTGGTAGTGCACGCTCAGGCTGGCGCAGGCTGGTCTAGCGCGACGAGGGGCCGCAGTGCGGGCAGCGGCGGGGTTGGACTCGTTGCTTCCGGCAGCATCATTCATACTGCGTCAAGATGGATTGTCTGGACGATAATTCTCATTGGGATGACTTGGACTTGTCAACTCCTCGTTTGCCAGGATATGACAGCCCGGGTTCTGGCCAAGAGGTGAGCCCGCTTGACGCGGGGCCTTGCTCGGAGCCAGAGTCCGACCATGCGGAAGCAGCTGCACGACTTCCACTCCTGCGATCATGCGACGTCGAACCCGGCCGAGAATATGACAGAGAAAACCCAACATGCATTCATTATGACCTCAAGTTGAAGGTTTCTTTGCGTGGTGCCGGTAAAAAGAGGTCGAGCCAGATCGATCTGCTCAACAAGTCTGATGTAGTCCTTGCACCAAGTGAGCTTTGGGAGTCAGAACTTCAGGCCCATTTAGCGACTCTCTTGAGTAGCCCGGAATTGTTCCCACACGAAAGCAGCTACACATGCCAAGGCGGTGCCGTCTCCATCAAAGCTAAAACTACCCGCAGCGGCCTAGACGACACGTTCGACGGCGACGATATTCCATGGTCGAAGGTGGACCAGCACCTAGCATCCCTTGGGCTTCTGTTCAGATTACGGCGTATGCAGATAACCGTAATGGTTGATCTTACTTACTACGAAAGCTCGACGACAGCAGCGACAGGGGCCAAACGGAGAAAGACGGCCACTAGCAAAGCCCGAGAGAAGTTGCCGAGTGATGCAGTCTTCATGACTCGTTATTACAAGCACCATGAGTGCAACGGGATCTGCCGAAACAAGTCCATGCATTGCTTGAAAGACAAGCATGGAAATCATCATCCAATCGATTGGAAACGTCTCTCTGACATGCGACGAGCTGGCGCCGATAAGATCCTGCTCTACCGCACACGGGAATTCGACAAAATATGTGAGCAGAATCCCAAGCATGATGCTATCCCGCTCGTCGAAAGGGTTTTGTCATGGGAAAGAGTATATGCGGAGCATATAACCGACCTGGCGGCTCGGGCGATGGAGGAAGCCAGAGGCAGTCTTACGGGACAGCGGTGGCTAGATAAGAGCCATGTGGCGGAGCGACTTGACAGGATGCCGCGAAACGCATGGAATGACGCCAAAGATGTATGGCGTTCCAGTGAAGAAGAGGCTGCCTTTCATTCGATCTCAAACCCGACCACAGCTTCGACTGACCGAATAGGAAGTATGTTTAACATTTGCGCTGGAGCGGGTACAGGCCGAAATAAGTCCATTTATGTCACCTTGGTCCCTCAGGATCAGACTTTCCTCTCTGTGTGCTCCATCATGACCATAAACGAAGGAGACTTTCTAGGATTCTTCTCGGGGTATTTTCGGTACTCGGAGGACTTCGACAAATTGTACGGCATTCGTGGGCCGACAGAGAAACTTTGGTTAGACTATTCAGAGGCCACCGGACCTTTGAATCAGATGAAAGTCGCGGCTTCAGGAGGGGACGCAAATGTAGCTCTTCAATGGGAGCTGATCGAAGGTGGCGGCGAGGGGCCTTGCATGTGGCGCGTCGCGGTTCGGGCGCTCTGCAGCATTGGACCTTTCGAAAACTTCGTCCGCGCCGCTTATCATCCAGCACAATACCTTTTGCATCAGGAGTCGACTTATGCAAGGACAGGGTTCACGAAGTCGGTCGATGGGCATGGTGATGCGTTGTTTCCGGAAGAAGTGCGGGGTTGCGCCTGACAGCTTCAGTCGCGCACAAGCAACAGGATCCATTGTAACTGTATTGAGCTCCGCTTGCGATGCATAGTCTCGGAGGGCGTTAGCCCAAGCCATTGATAGCAATACCTAGCACCAATTTCACCGTAATGTATTTTATGCCAGCCGCGCAATATGCGGGCGTGAGTGTGGCTAGTCATTTTTGTCAATTGCTAGTGGACGGAACCGAGTCGGGAAAGGTCCGCGGGCTACAGGATCGAGATGATTGGACGTGGTGCACACTGCACACGACAGGCGGGCATGGGCCGAAGATTAAACTGTAATTCTCTCATGCACATAACGCGTGGATACTGACAGGTGAACGTTGGCAGCGAATTGCGATTGATCGCTCAGCATGCGCTACATCTCTGCCAGGGTCTTGTCGCCTGGTACAATCAGCCCGGCTTAGTGTGGTAGGATTTTTCCGCAGCTAATTGCATAGGTGTATGCAGGCTGATCCTGCAGAGCGCTTCTATGAGCACGTCTATTCGTCCACGTAGCATCCGAAGCGAAACAGAGCACTCAGCCACAGTGACAGAGAATTTATTGCTCGCTACCTGGGGAGAACCCCGCTCTCCTCTCATCATTAATCACCTTCACCCTTCGCCTCCAGTTGCACCGCCCGTTGTACTTCGCCTAGCTTTTCAAAAAAATTCATCCACGCTTGTGAGCAAAATACATACATTGCACGACCTCGCGGCTGACCTTGTTTTCCTAGGCATCAAGCCACAGAAATGTCTGGTGCTGAGATTCTCGGTATCATTTCCGCTGTGATATCGATTGTCGACGCCACGAGTAAAGTGTACCATGCCGCCAAAGACGAGGCGGGGCTACCGCCTAACTTCAAGACGGTGGCGACCAAACTTCCCCTGATCACAAGACTCCTCGACGATGCGGAGAGATTCGTCGCAAAAGAAACGGACGAGTGCCTCATCCTAGCCTTAAGGCCCATCGTGACAGACTGCAATATGAAAGCTTCACAGCTGCGGCAATTATTCGAAAAAGTTATTGCGGCGGAGGGTGCCTCGAGGTCTGAACGCTATGTCAAAGCGGCTCGAACTATAGGCAAAGGCGGCCGCGTGGAGACTTTAATGAAAGCAATCCTTGACGATCTACAGCTGCTGACGACGCAAATTCCCCAGGCCGTTTCGCGAAGAGGACAGGAGAACTTGGCAGAGGCGATTGAAGATGTGAGCAAAGCTAAGCCACCACTACCTGACGGATTCCAGGACGCCCAACACTTCGCAATCTATGGCAGTGGCACCCAGAATGTGAATACAGGAGCTGGAGGCCTACATAGTCATCAGAATAATGGGCCGGGTAATCAATATATAGGCACCAACCACATTGGTACGCCCTCCGAACCTCTACCACCCATGTCATAGCCTGAATAATTGATACAACGATTGATGGCCCTTTATTTCTTCGCATCGAGTCACAACGCTAACTTGCGAAATGGGCATGTAGGCTCCTTAAAAAATCCTACAGCCTTCGGCGACAACAAATCCGTTACGATCAACGGACCTGTCAATTACTATTCCTCCCAGCGTAAGACCTAGCTACACTCTGAAGTCGATCATCACCCTACACACGCCTGTGTTGCCTGAAGTCTGCTGACAACTCACCAAAGCCGCGATACGACACAACCCGGAAGCCGAAGAAGCCTGCCGGTGTGATCTATTCATCACCGACCCGAGTGAAGACAAAAAGGCTCTGAAGCGTAAGAAAGGTGACCGTGTTGCTGGCACCTGCGAGTGGATACTTGGCACAGAGGATCTGGTTGCTTGGCTTGGGCCTAGCCAGAACCAGCGTCTTCCGAGCCACGCCAACCAAGTTCTGTGGCTGCACGGCAACCCGGGAACGGGAAAGTCAACGCTGGCGATATACCTTACCGATGCCTTGTCGACGCGGTTTTCAGCGACGGACGGGCATACGCTGGCATTCTTTTTCTGCGACTCAGCTTTCGATACACGGAGGACAGCTACATCTGTCATCAGAGGTCTTCTCCTTCTATGTTGCTCTTGCAATCTAAACTATTCTACTGTCCTTTCTGAGCAAAAATCTGATCCCTCACTACTGCTATCGGCTATAGCAGGTTAACAGACGAGGATTTTTCTTGAGCAGCAGATGACAAGCGTCCTAAAAGTAACCACCATTCGAATGTCCGTTTGTCTCTTGCGTCTGCTGCATGAATCATGTGTCAATTTGAGAGCTGCTAGTTATTTGCGATTGGTTACCGAGACATCGATCAAAGGTAGCAAAGGCGTATAGAATATACAGCAGACTGATTTTCGGCGTTGACATCCGGAGCCTGCTCCTTCGTTCTCAATATTGATGGTATTAACCCCAACAGGAACTGTAGTGCTCTGCTAGTCTTGGATGGCTGGAACACTTATTTTGTCGTCTCTAGTCGCCTAGTCCATTCAGCTATACTCACCCCAGCCGGAAGGGGGGAGAAATCCAGCAGTACCCGCAGCTACTCAGCTTTATCTTGCCTAAGTACAATGAAAGAAAAGCGAAACTGTTTGAGTCTTTCGACGCCCTGTGGACAATTTTCTTGGCAGCAGCGACTGACTGCAATACCGGTCGAAAATATTGCATTATTGACGCATTAGACGAATTAGATCATGAGTCACAGAAGACGCTGCTGCGACAATTGCGGGAGACCTTTCGTGGTCCCGATGATCCGCCTGATGTCCGTTTCTTGGTCACCAGTCGGCCGTATCCGGAGATTCGCAACCACTTGGCAAATTTTACGCATAAGGACCTGGCTTCCTTTCCTCACGTCAAACACGATATTGATCAGTGTATCCAAAAACGCGTTGCAGAGCTGAAGTACCCAAAAAGGTTGAAGGACAAGTCACGAAACTTCTCAGAGAAAAAGCCGCGGGGACATTTCTGTGGGTCGGCATAGCTTGCAACGAGCTTGAGAATACCCCTTCAAAGGACGCGGTCTCACGGTTAGAGGGAATGCCTAGTGGCCTCTATTCCCTCTATGAGAGATTGCTTAGTGAAGCTTTTGACAAGGAGAGGGATAAAAGCACGATTCAACTCATTTTGAGTTTTGTTGCTGTTTCTCGGCGGCCTCTAAACCTGCTGGAGCTCTCGGAGGCATGCCGACTATGTGAGAACGAAGATGACATAGAGACTCGGATGCAGTTCATGCGAGAGTATATCGATTCCTGTCGTCTGATGGTTGTTATACAGGATGAGAGGGTCCTCCTGCTGCATCAATCTGTGAAAGACTTTTTGATCAGCGTTGATGAGCAGGCTTGTTTCAGCGAGCTCAAAGCACATGCGGATCTTGCCTATCGTTGCCTGGATTACCTTGTCGAGCAGTTTCATGATTTGAAGGACTTACACGGACACCTGTTAACATACGCAATTCGTGAGTGGCCGAATCACGCGCGTCTGGCAAAGTCCAAATTCGTCGTGGGCAGCGCACAAGCCGAGTTCTTCAGTATTACTTCGCCGTGTCGAGAATCCTGGCTCGCAGCATATCGTGCTCGAATCGACGAATTTTTCTTTGAGATAATTCCACTTCAATTCTCTGTTTTTCATGTAGCTGCACGATGGGGCATTCCCGCTGTAGCTGAGCATGTATCGCACTCATATGATGAGCAGGAAAAAGCAGAGGGATTTATCAATGTTAGGGATGACTCAAACGAAACCGCACTTGACTGTGCTGTCAGATACGGACATTCGAATGTAGTACGCGTTCTCTTGGGCATTGGGTCCGTGCTGACTGTACATTCGGCAGTGCTCGCCGCCAGCAATGAAGAGAATGGCAAGGACTTGATGGCTATCCTTCTGGAGCAGCGAGGGAGTGAGATGACAATTACACAAGAGGTGGTGAAAGCTGCAGCAAGGAATCGGAACAACAGCAAGGAAATGATTGCCCTACTTCTGGAGCGGCGAGGAAAGGAGATCGCTATTACAGAGCAGATTGTGATAGCTGCGGCAGGAAATAAGTACGGCGGGAACGAGGTGATGACGCTGCTCCTCAATCAACGAGGAAACGAGATCACGATTACGGAAGAGGTCATAAACGCCGCAGCAAGAAACCGAAAGAAGGGCAAAGAGGTGATGGCGCTGCTCCTTGATCGGCGAGAAAACGAGATCACGATCACAGAGCAGGTGCTAGTCACTGCGGCAGAAAACGGGGAAAATGGCAACGAAGTGATGGGACTGCTGCTCGACCACAAAGGAAGCGATATATCGATTACAGAGCAAGTTTTGCTGGCTGCGGCAAGAAATCAGTACGGCGAGAACGAGGTGATGACGCTACTCCTCGATGAGCGAGGGAACGAGATCACGATTACAGAGGAGGTTGTGCTAGCTGCAGCAAGAAGTGAGTACAGTGGGAAGAAGATGACGGCGCTGCTCCTCGATCAACGAGGAAACAAGGTCACTATTACAGAGCAGGTTGTGATAGCTGCGGCAGCAAATAAGTATGGCGGGAACGAGGTGATGACACTGCTCCTCAATCAGCGAGGAAACGAGATCACGATTACAGAGCAGGTTGTGATAGCTGCGGCAGGAAACCGGAAAAATGGGAAGAAGGTAATGGCG